AGAGAGAGAGAGAGAGAGAGAGAGAGAGAGAGAGAGAGAGTGTGTGTGGTGGGGGGCCGTGGGGGGTCTGGGGGGGGGGTGTTTCAACTCTCAGTTCAAAATAAAAATAAAAAATAAAAAATATATGCTGTGCGCACCTGGCGCATATGCGGCCCCGCAGGGCGCACCCCCCAGCGCACCGGCTCTCGGCGCACCAGTCCTGTGCGCAGCGCATCGCGCACCGGCCGGTGCGCACGCAGCTCGGGCGCCGTGCCTGCGCCGCGCACGGCGCAGCGCACAGGGTTGACGGGCCGCAAGTATGATCTGAGGGCATACTTACACTACGAGTTTTTCCACTTCTCTCTGGACGCAATTGCGGTCAGGTGCATCCAGAAGGGGTCGGAAAAGGGGTCATATATATACATCGAGGAAAGTCCTAAATTTTCCCCCCAATACAACCTAGGGTCATTATAGCTGTATCTAGACTGAAAGATGCCTCAGATACAGCTATAATGACCGTACGTTGTATTCGGGGGAAGAGGTCGTGTCAGTATGCTTTGAGGGATATTCATCGAGGAAAGTCCTAACTTCTTCACCCGAATACAACGTACGGTCATTATGCCTGTATTTAGACGGAATGATACCCCCACATACAGGTAGAATGACCGTACGTTGTATTCGGGTGAAGAAGGGTAGTGCGAGTGTGCTTGAGGGTGTGCGAAGGGGAGAGGCGAGCAAAACAGGTATCAGGAGCAAGAGGCAGATCCTCGGGTGCGGTCTGTGACCCTGTACCCGACTTCTCAAGCTTACCCATGTTTTTGTGTAAGCTTCCCCATCATGTCTTTGGTGTGGAGAAAGCAATTATCTGTTAGCGTTAATGTGGGCATTTAGTGATGTCGGCTGATGAGCCATTGCTGTTGAACGTAGAAAGGTCGGTCTGAACATACTGTATTAGGAAGAATATGTGCTTAGAACAGAGGGCAAGGAGTTAGTTGTTTACCCATTCATCAATAGCGCCTACAATCTAGGGGTCAGTGTTGGGTAAGATGTTACTTCTGACATTTCAAAAGGCGCGCAGGTGATTAACTCAAAATCACTTTTTTTCTTTTTTTCCCGATTCCGTTTTTCCTTCTCATCGTGTGGTTTAAGGTTCGGACTGCGCAACTTCTCCATAGACCTTGGTTACTGTCATGTGCGTTACGCGCGCTCATCGTAGTGATGGCAGTTCTGAACATTCGAGGAACGGCGGTGGGGGGTGGGCCGCGCGACTCTCTCCAGCGGCGGCGTAGCTCTCTGTCTGGGAAAAAAACGTTTTCTGCACATCGCTAATTAACGGCGCCTTTGGCCCTGCCCAGTTCATTTTTCGTGTGCTCGGCTGCTCTGAGTCGCGCCTGTTCATTTTTCGTGTGCTCGGCTGCTCTGAGTCTCCTCACACTGCCGGCGATGATATGCTGTATTTAGGACGGAATTGACTTGGGTAAACTCATAAGACCTCCCCGAGCGGAAACCTTTGTATCCACGGGGGAAAAAGTGGGCATGTCCCAAAATCAATTTTGGAGTCATTTTGGCACCCTGGCTGGGTCGGTAACGGGTACTGTGTAAAAATGGCAGGAAATTTTTTTGCAGCGTGCGGAAAGTGATTTTGGGGCCTGCGGCACCTTTATCCACGTTTGGGGGGAAATGGATGCAAAGGTTTCGTAGCGGGGAGGTCTTATGACTTTTCCCAAATGACTTCCTCCATCCTCCTCCATCTCCTGAGAACTCGTCTTTCCCGCGGCCTTGTTGATCCTTTGTGTCTGCAGGGCTGCGTTTCGCACGGCAGAGGAAGGTTTCCCGGAAGGAGAAGTAGGAGAGAGCAGACCGGAAGGACGAGTATCCATAGCCGCGGAAACACGAGGAGCAACCGCTGTGCGAGGAGTTTGAAAAGGCGCGCGGGAAATTCACTGAGCGCCACCATAGTTCGCTCCCCTCGCTGAGCTCGTCTGGTCCGGTGCATGGAGGTGAAAAGTTTCTTCTAGAGATTTCTCCGCCGCGGGATTTATTGTCTTTCTCTTTTTTTTTCTTTTTTTTTGTTTATTTGCGTGCGAGGGCGGCAGTAATTAGGCCAGTTAACAAGACCGGTGGCGCAAATTTGCTGGGAAGAGCGTGGGGAAACGATTCGCGCAAATTTGGCGGGAAAAGCGTGGGGACACGGTTGCGTAATTTTGGCGCAAATTTGGCGGGAAAAGCGTGGGGACACGGTTGCGCAATTTTGGCGGGCGTGGGGACACGGTTCGCGCAAATTCGGGGATCATGGTAATCGGAGATCTGGTCTTCGTAATGCGGCGATCACCTTCGCTCCTTGCCGCCTTTCTCTTGCTGCTGTTGCCATGTTTCTTCACTTTGCAATATGCGGGGCGGGGTGGTGGTTGCGGCGGAGGCGGCGACAGGGGAGAGGCAATAGATGGAGGAGGTGCTAGGGGCGGAGAAGCGGGAGGACGGGCAGCATTGACATCAGAAAATGAGAACGTAGCGACGGCATCGCCGTCGGCGCCGCGCGCTGAAGACGATGATCATCTTCATCATCGTCTTCGCCGTCTTTTCCGCATTCCTGAGGCGTCAGAAGGGCGATTACTGCAGGGGATGTTCAATACATCCAGCATATCTACCATTGATGCTGCCTTAGTTGCTGATGGTACCAGCGTCGTGAAGTTCCTCGGAGAGAGTCCGTTCAACACTTTTTTGAACGGTTCTGAACTATGCGCGGGCCCAATCCCGGACGTCGCCCTCTCTCGCGACGGCACTGTGTTGTACTACAGGCTGTTGGAAGCATGCATGGACCCCGCATTTCAAAAATTCACCAAGCTCCGCTACTCGTTTAGAGAAGCCAAACCGGGTACGGCTACGGCGCTGGCGGGAGGTGGACGTTTGCTTAGTTACTGGTGGCCGGCTGCGAATCCAAGCGGGAGAGCGAATATGACCGCCTTTATTTTTGAGGATCCGTTGGGCTCTGATCGGATCAATCCGATGATGAACTTCATTTCCAGCATGGATGTGACTAAGTCTGATACGCACCTGGCCGTCTTTCCGACGCCAATCGGCATCGGCAAGAGAATGATAGTTTTCATCGAGGTCGCCAGCGGAGATAGGACGGCAATCGAGGTGTCCGACGTGGACTCGCCAGGAAGTCTCGCGTTCGCTCGGCTTGCTAATGAGCGTCTGTATATCGCCGACACCGCTGCGCCTTATCGCATTCTCTCTGCGCCCATGTTACCTGGAGCTGATGGTATTCCCATGAGTAGCACGACTGTTTTCGCGCCGGAGGCCAATTTTCCCAAAGGCGGGAGGCCCAACATAACAGAGACTAAGTTCGCGGGGCAAAGCTTGGACTCACAAGGGAGGTGTCTGTACTTCAGCGACTCCACCAATCTCACGGTTTGGAGCCTGGACTTGACATCTCCATCATCAAGATCGTCATCAGCGTCGGAATCGCCAATGTCTAGAAACGCCACGCATGTCGCAGGATCAGGAAAGAAAAAGATAGAAGATGGTCCCGGTTTGAGCGCGTCGTTCTGGTCTCTGTCGCATCCGGTAGTAACTCGAGACGGGTGCAACGTGTTCGTTGTGGATGACGATACGGTTCGCTGGATAAAACTTAGCTCGCCCTGCTCTACAGCTCTCAAAGTGACATCTGTTGCGAAGGTTGTGGCTACGAACTTTTGGAGCTTAGCGCTCTTCGATAACGGGACAAGCAATCCGCTCTTGTACCTAGGTACAATGGACGGGCAGGTATACAAGCTGGAGATCAACAGGGCCGCGTTACATTCATGTCGTAGTGAGGTGCCGAATCCGCCCATACCGTCTCTGCCCTCGAGCAGTCCACCTCCTCCACCTCCTTCCCTATCTGCTCCTAATGTTTCCCAAAGCTCCCCACCGCCCCCCTCCCCTCCCTCTTCTAGTAGCCCTCCAGCGGTGCAAGACTCGAGCAGCTCGAAATCGCCAAAGGATAATCCGTCTCCCGCCATCATCGTGGTTCCCGTTGTGTGCGGCTTGGCTGTCCTCCTCATCGTCGTCGGAGTTGCGATCGTTTACTGCAGGCGCATTAACCGACCACTGGAGGCGATACCAGTCACTCAATCTACGACCTACATACCGTCATTGCCGCTGACCACTGACACCGTCCCGCTTAACCCCGCCGTTGTCAGAGCTTTCGGGCTCACCGATCTCCGATTCTGCACGAATGATTTCGATCAGAGTTATCTTATTGGAGACAAGGGAGCGTTCGGGGAGGTGTACTGGGGTTCGCTGGGAGGAACTCAGGTGGCAATCAAGGTAATGCACGGGGAGCTGACGGCTGCCAAGCGCAGGCAGTTCGTAGCGGAGGTGAATACTCTCACCCGCCTTCACCACGCCAACCTCATCCAGCTTATCGGATACTGCGACGAGGGGAACCGGTGCATCCTGGTCTACCCTTATTTCGCAGGTGGGAGCTTGCACTCACGATTACACAAGAGGGTGGGGGTGCGCGGAGCGGCGCCCCCGCCGCCGCTGACGCTGTCGCAGCGAATGTCGATCATTTCGCAGATCGCAGAAGGCCTTCGGTATTTGCATTGCGGCGCCAATCCGAGAGTCATTCATCGGGACGTGAAGAGCAGCAACGTCCTCCTCAGCGATGGTGCTGACGGCAGCTTGCAAGTCGTGCTCGCCGATTTCGGCACGGCAGCAATAACCGAGAATGTGTTCGAGACGGGGCACCAGAGCGTGGTGAAGACGTGTCAGCTGGCGGGGACACGTGGCTACATCGCACCCGAGTACCTGCTGAGAGGGCGGCTGACGGCCAAGAACGACGTGTTCGCATTCGGAGTAGTTGTGTTGGAGTTGATGACTGGAAAACCGGCGATTCTTCGCCAATCCCCGGTTGATGGCGAATGCCAAGCCCTCGCGGAATGGGTAAGAGAAATTTCCCAGCGTTCAAGCATGTCGGCCATTCTCGGCACGATCATCGACCCGTGCTTGAGGAGTATAGTGGAGACGAACGTCGTCATCAGGAATATGGTCATAGATGAGGTTAATCTAGGGATGACCTGCTCCCAACTGGAAGACGAGCAAAGGCCGATCATGAGCTCGGTGTGCGACAGGCTGACGGTTATGCTGTCGGAAGCAAAAGGCCGGGGTATATACGAGTAGCGCCGTCCATGGAAGAGTGGACGAGTACCTGGAAATGGCGGCGAGGAGGCCAGTCGGCGAAAGCTGGGAGCGGGAGGGGAGGGAGAAGGGGGAGTGGGGGCGGGGAGCGGGGGTGTAAAGGCGGTGGGATTGCGAACGACTGAGGAGGATGAGCTTATAAATTCTCGACAGAGTGCCCGCTCCAGAGTTGATAAGTTTCTCGACAGAAGGTACTCAGGTATAGTGAGGGTAGATTGATGATGCCGTTCGTTATCAATCGGCCTTCGTCGTCAAGGCGCACAAAGATGTCTCTTGCGCTTACGTGGCGGTGGCTTTGAGAGGGAGAATAGGGCAAGTGGGCTATGGAGAGCCAAAGCTTGACAGCGTGAGCACGGCGCCATGGGATCGTGTATGCATTCGCAGCGGTGGCATGCAGCAGAGGAGAGATCAGGGCCAGATAGGGAGGAACAAAGGGGTTGACTGTGCTTCGGGGAGACGCGTGACAATTGAGGGGTTGTACATTGTGTGTGTGTGTGTGTGTGTGTGTGTGTGTGTGAGAGAGAGAGAGAGAGAG